TCCATTCTATAGGTTGTCTGCTTACTCTGTTGATAGTTTCTTTTGCTGTGCAGAAGCTCTTTAGTTTAATTAGATCCCATTTGTCAAATTTTGCTTTTGTTACAATTTCTTTTGGCATCTTTGTCATGAAATCTTTGCCGTTCCTGTGTCTAGAATGGTATTGCCTAGATTGTCTTCCATGATTTTTATAGTTTTGAGTTTTACATCTAAGTCTTTAATCTATCTTGAGTTAATTTTTGTATATGGTGTAAGGAAGTGGTATAGTTTCAGTCTTCTGCATATGCCTAGCCTTTTATCCCAGTACCATTTATTGAATAGGTAGTACTTTCCCCATTGCTTGTTTTTGGTGACTTTGTAGAAGATTAGACAGTTGTAGGTGTGTAGCCTTATTTCTGGGTTCCGTATTCTGTTCCATTGGTCTATGTGTCTGTTTTTGTACTAGCACAATGCTGTTTTAGTTACTGTAGCCCTGAAGTATAGTTTGAAGTTGAGTAGCCTGATGCCTCCAGCTTTGTTCTTTTTGCTTGGGATCGCCTTGGCTATTTGGGCTCATTTTTTAGTTCCATATAAATTTTTAAATAGTTTTTTTTTTGTAGTTCTGTGAAGAATATCTTTGGTAGTTTGATAGGAATAGCATTGAATCTATAAGTTGCTTTGGGCAGTATGGCCATTTTAACAATATTGATTCTTCCTATCCATAAGCATGAAATGTTTTTACATTTGTTTGTGTCATCTCTGATTTTTCTGCGCAGTGTTTTGTAGTTTTCCTTGTGGAGATCTTTCACCTCCCTGGTTAGCTGTATTCCTAAGCATTGTATTCTTTTTGTGGCAATTGTGAATGGGAATGCCTTCCTGATTTGGTTGTTGGCTTGGCTATTGTTGGTATATAGGAATGTTAGTGATTTCTATACATTGACTTTGTATCTTGAGACTTTGCTGAAGTTGTTTATCAGCTGAAGGAGCTTTTGGGCTGGAACTATGGGGTTTCCTAGATATAAGATAATGTCGTTTGCAAACAGGGATAGTTTGACTTCCTCTCTTCCTATTTGGAGGTCCTTTATTTCCTTATCTTGCCTAATTGCTCTGGCCAGGACTTGTAATACTATGTTGAATAGGAGTGGTGACAGCGAGCATCCTTTTCTTGTGCCAGTTTTGAAGGGGAATGCTTCCAGACTTTGCCCATTTAGTGTGATGTTGGCTGTGGGTTTGTCATAGATGGCTCTTATTATTTTGAGGTATGTTTCTTTAATACCTAGTTTGTTGAGAGTTTTAAATATGAAGGGTGTTGAATTTTATCAGAAACCTTTTCTGCACCTATTGAGATAATCATTGGTTTTTGTCTTTACTTCTGTTTATGTGATGAATCACATTTATTGATTTGTTTATTTTGAACCAACATTGCGTCCCAGAGATAAAGCCTACCTGATCATGGTAGATACACTTTTTGATATGCTGCTGGATTCAGTTTGCCAATATTTTATTGAAGATTTTTGCATCTATGTTCATCAAGTATGTCTTCTTTTGAAAAATGTCTATTTTAAATCTTTTGCCCATTTTAAAATCAGATTATTAGATTTTTTTCCTATAGAGTTGTTTGAGCTCCTTATATATTCTGGTTATTAATCCCTCATCAGATGGATAGTTTTCAAATATTTTCTCCCATTCTATGGGTTGTCTCTTCACTTTGTTGATTTGTGGTGAGGGTGGGCTGTGCAGAAGCTTTTTAACTTGATGTGATCCCATTTGCCCATTTTGCTTGGTTGTCTGTGTTTGTGGGGCATTATTCAAGAAATTTTTGCCCAAACCAATGTCTGGAGAGTTTCCCCAATGTTTTCTTGTAGTAGTTTTTATAGTTTGAGGTCTTAGATTTAAGTCTTTAATCAATTTTGATTTGATTTTTATATATGGTGAGAGACAGGGTCTAGTTTTATTCTTATGTATACAGATGTCCAGTTTTCCCAGCATCATTTATTGAAGAGACTGTCTTTTCCCCAATATATGTTCTTGGCACTTTCGTTGAAAATGAGTTTACTGAAGGTGTGTGAGTTTGTTTCTGGGTTCTCTATTATGTTCCATTAGTGTATATGTCTGTTTTTTGTTTGTTTGCTTTTATTTTTCAGGCAGAGTCTCACTCTGTCACCCAGGCTGGAGTGCAGTGGCATGATCTTGGCTCACTGCTACCTCCATCTCCCAGGTTCAAGTGATTCTCCTGACTCAGCTTGCCGAGTAGTTGGGGTCACAGGCTGGCTAATTTTTGTATTTTTAGAAGAGACAGAGTTTCACCATGTTGGCCAGACTGGTCTCAAACTCCTGGCCTCAGGTGATCTGCCCACCTTGGCCTCCCAAAGTGCTGGGATTAAAGCATGAGCCACTGTGCCCAGCCTACATGCTTATTTGTATGCCAGTACCATGCTGCTTTGGTTACTATATCTCTGTAGTATAATTTGAAGTCAGGTAATGTGATTCCCCTAGTTTTGTTCTTTTTGCTCAGGATAGCTTTGGCTATTCTGGGTCTTTTATGGTTTCCTATTTATTTTAGGATTCTTTTTTTCTATTTCTGTGAAGAATATCATTAGTATTTTAATAGGGATTGTGTTAAATCTGTAGATTGCTTTGAGTAATATGGACATTTTAACAACATTGTTTCTTCTAATCCATGAGCATGGACTGTCTTTCCATTTGTGTCCTGTTCAATTTCTTTCATCAGGGTTTTATAATTTTAATTGTAAAGATCTTTTGCTTCTTTGGTTAATTCTCAGATAATTTAATTTTACTTGTGGCTCTTGTAACTGGGATTTTTTTTTTCATATTGTTCACTGTTGGCATATAGATATGCTGCTGATTTATGTATGTTGATTTTGTATCCTGCAACTTTTCTGAATTTTTAAAATCAGTTCTAATAGTTTTTTTGGTGGAATATTGAGTTTTTTTTCCAAATGTAAGATTATATCATCTGCAAACAGGATAATTTGACTTCTTCCATTCCAGTTTGGGTGCCCTTTATTTCTTTCTCTTGTTTGATTGCTCTAGATAAGACTTCCAATACTATGTTGCATAACAGTGGTGAAAGTGGGCATCCTTGTCATGTTCCAGATGTTATAGGAAAGCCTTTTCATTTTTCCCCATTCAGTATGATACTGGCTGTGGTTCTGTAATATCTGGCTTTTATTATGTTGAGGTATATTCCTTTTATACCTAGTTTTTAAAGGATTTTTATTATGAAGAGATGTTGAATTTTATTAAATGCATTTTCAGCATCATTTGAAATGATCATATGTTTTTTTGTCCTTTATTCTGTTGATATAATGTATCACTTTGATTGATTTGCATATATTGAACTATCCTCTCATCCCAGAGATAAATCCCACTTGGTCACGATGAATGATCTTTTAAAATGTATTGTTGAATTCAGCTTGCTAGTATTTTGTTGAGGATTTTTGCATCAATATTTATCAGAGATAATGACTTGCAGTCTTTTTTTGATATGTCCTGGTCTGGTTTTTTGATACGTCCTGGCCAGGGTAACAATGGCCTCATAGAATGAGTTTGGAAATATTCCCTCTTCTTCTATTTTTCAGAATAGTGTGAGTAGGATTGGTATTATATGCTCTTCTTCAAATGTTGGTAGAATTCAGCAGTGAAGTCATCAGACCCCAGGCTTTTCTTTACTAGGAGACTTTTTATTACATCTTCTATCTCACTGCTTGTTATTAGTCTTTTCAGATTTTGGATTTCTTTTTGGTTCAATCTTGGTAGGTGTATGTGTCTAGGAATTTATCCATTTCCTCTAGATTTTCTCTTCTACTGGCATATAGTAGCTGCTAATGATCTTTTGAATTTTGGCAGTATCAGTTATAATGTCTCCTTTTTCATCTCTGATTTTATTAGAGTCTTCTTTTTTCTTTTCTCAGTTAGGCTAAAGGTTTGTCTATTTTGTTTGTCTTTTCAAACAAACTTTCAGTTTCATTGATCTTTAGTATTTTTTTATTTCAATTTATGTATTTCTGCTCTGATCTTTATTATTTCTTTTCTTCAATTTCAGATTGGTTTTCTCTTACTTTTTTAGTTCTTTAAGACACATTGTTAGGTTATTTATTTGAAGTTTTTCTTCTTTTCTGATGTAGGCACTAATAGCTATAAATTTCCCTCTTGGTACTCCTTTTGCTGTATCCTGTAGGTTTTGGTATGTTGTGTTCCCATTATCATTTGTTTCAAGAAATGTTTTGATTTCTTTCATAATTTCTTTATTGGCCCACTTGACATTCAGGAGCATATGAAACAGTCTAATCTTGAAGGGAGGAGGTTAATTCATTATAAACACTTTAAAATCTTAATCTTTTCCTATCCCATTTTTTTCAGTGTAAAACTATCATAATAACCCAGGGTACATTTAAATTTAACCTTGATAATATGTAGTAGAGGTTGTAGCCTTGAATTTAAAGTGTTTGTGATAATTAGAGTGTGTTGCATATTTAACAAATATTGATTTAGCCCCGATTTATGTCAGGTCCAAAGGCAGATGCTGGGGATTCAAAGATGAATCAGATATAGTATCTGCCCTTAAGAAACTCAGTTCACTGGAGATCTTGATGTGGAAACAAATAGATTTTCTGTCTTATTGGTCAGCACAGAGATAAGGAAAGCCCAGATCAAGGGTGTGTAACCCCAAGACTGGGAATTTAGGGAAAATCTCCCAGAAAAAGTTATCGGAACAGAATCAGGAAAGAAGAGAGTGGTCGGAAGGTCTCTGGATTTGTGTTTATCTGGGCATTAAGATGCAGCTTGCCTCCTGTTGTTGCATTTCTTGTTTCATTGTATTTTTCCCATAAAATAGTTTTAAAATCCTCCCATGCCACTTTGACTGTGATTTGGCTGCATGTGCCTGAAACAGCCTGGCACATAGCAAATACCTAAAAAATTTTTGTCAGATGATGGATGGATGGGTGGATGGATGGATGGACTGATGGACAAGCTGTGCTCACACTGAATTCCCTCCCAAGGTGACTGTGGATTCGCAGCCTGTGTGGCCACCTGTGAGCAGGTATGGGTTCAGAATCGAGGACACAGGCCACATGTACATGATCCTGACTCCCTCACACATCCAGATCCAGTGGCTCCACAGCTCAGGACTCATGATCGTGGAGGCCAGCAAAGCCAGCAAGGCCCAGGGCCATGGCCTGTGTGGTAAGGTGGGACCCAGCTGGGGAAAGACAATGTTTTCCAGGTCAACCTCTGCCTCCAGACATAATTCCTTCTGGAGCAGGAAAGGCTGTAACAGAATACCAGGCCAGAGGTGGGAGCAGGAGAGCTGCCAGGGCAGGGAAGCCTAATGTCTTGTGTCCTGGGGCCAAAGCTGCCAGTAGGGAGATAGTAGGGGCTGCAGGGACTCACCTAGTTGTCACTTCAGCCGGGATTGTCTGTCAGCTTCCCTGACAGCCTCCTAAAGTTGGATAATCCTCTCCATCTGCATGAGCCTGGGCATTTCACAAAGCACTTCCACACTCTTATCTCACTTATTCCTGGTAATCCACACAACAGCACTGAGAGATGGCCGTTGGTATCCCCACCGAACCAAAGAAGAAAAGGGGTTCAGAGAGATTAAGTAGCTTAGCTAAGGGCACACAACAGAGTTGCCACAATACACAGAACTAGTGCTCTTCAGACCACAACATAATTGCAGAGAGCATGTCCTAAGGGATTGAATGTATTGTCATAAGGAAAAGAGCTACAGGACAAGCCTGGATGTGGGCTGCTGCTCATTTCTGGGGCATAAGTACATGGACACTCATAGGGCACTCCATGACAGGCTACCATGATTGTCATTATGGGTAAGCTAGAAACACTCATGACACATACACGCACACACACATACACCCTCCATCCTCCACCTGCAGCCCTGGTGATCATTCACACTTTCATATTCATGGCTCTCTGCATTCAAAATGCCCTCTACACATGCACTAACACATGCAGGTCAGCTCCATGCTCATTCTTTCCTTTGTTCAACGCGTATTTGCCATGTACCAGGCACTAGGGATAAAACAGTGAACAAAACAGACAAAATTCCTGTTTTATGATGCTTCTTACACCAAACACTTCTTACACACATGCCACCATCACCACCACCACCACCACCATCACTACCACCACCATTACCATCACTACCATCATCTTTTTCTCACCATTTCTTCCTTCTCTTCTGTTCATTCCCAGCAAATGGCACTGTGGTCAGCAGTACCCTGGTGAGCCAACTCCTCCCTAGGATACCTTTGTGTCACCCCTCACTGACTTAAAGCCTAGACCCAAAGTGTGACCATGGGGACCGTTAATAAGATATGAGAATTTGCCTTTAATTATGCTTTATATTCACAGAATGGTGGTTAGAGGTGTTGAAGCAGAAGTCAGATCATTTATATCTCCATTTTATTTGACAGAACAAATGATAGCTGGGCACCCTGCTAGAAAAACTTGGGGGAGTGCTGAGATAAATGAGAATCTAAAAGAAAATGAGTCTTTGCGCTCAAAGAGCTACAATCTTTTGTGAAAGGCTGACCTGCAAGCCAGTGACTGTTACACAGATTTTGGAAGGTCATGGGTGGTGCATCTGAGGCATCCTTGAAGTAAGGACATCTGAGAAAGTATTTCAGGCAGAGGGAGCAGCTTGAGCAGAGTTGTGGGCAGGAAAGTGTGTGTCTGGAGCACATAGATGGTTTGTGAGAGTTGAGACCAGAAGTTTAGGTCACATTAAAACCTGGGACAGATAAATTTCACCCTTACCCCCATCTCAGTGCCTTAACCCAACAGAAGCTTATTTCTGGCATACATAAGTTCCCAAATGGATAGCAATGATTCAGAGATCCAGATTCCATCTATCTTCTGGTTCTGCCATGTTAACATGAGTCTCCAAATTCACAGGAGAGGAGGCAGTTGGGAAGGTTTTATGGACTAGGCCTGGAGGTGGTACTCATCACCTTCACTCACATGCCATTGACTGGGACTCAATCAGATGATCTCACCTAGCTGCAAGGGCGTCTGGGAAGAATACACTGATGGCCCAGGAAAAAGAGGGAACAGTTGTTATAATTAGCTAGCAGTCACTGCTAAAGCAGATTTTTTGGGGGGTAGCTTTTTATTTTGCTGAAATATAGCAAAACTTATAAAAATTTGGAACTTGCAAAGATAGCATAAGATAATGTATACCTTTTACCCAGATCTACCAATGGTTCACATTTTACCCCATTTGCTTTTCTCCTTCTCTCTCTCTCTGTGTATACACTTTTATATGCACATTATCTATATATGCATTTTTCAGAACCATTTGAAAATAACTTCAAGACATCGTATCCCTTTACCCCCTAAATACATGTGTATTTCCAAAGAATAAAGACATTTTCTTTTATAGCAGGTTTCCTAGTTTCCCTTCACTTAATTTCCCTCATCTATAAAATGGGGATAATTCTATTATTGACCTCAAAGAACTGTGAGGAATACAATAAGTGAGAGCTGACGACATGAGTGTGGTAGTGATGATCGTGGCTGCTGGGATTGTTTGGCCCCTTTCAGGTATCTGTGATGGAGATGCAGCCAATGACCTCACCCTGAAGGATGGCTCGGTGGTGGGTGGGGCTGAGGATCCTGCTCCCTTTCTGGACAGCTGGCAGGTGCCCAGCTCCCTGACCTCGGTGGGCCAGACCCGCTTCCGCCCAGACAGCTGTGCCACAACTGACTGCTCACCCTGCCTTCGCATGGTGTCCAACCGCACCTTCAGTGCTTGCCACCACTTTGTATGTGCCAACTGGGTCCAGCGTTGGGGGCACCTCCTAGGCTAACTGGGGATGGCAGTACCTACTTGCAGAGGCTCATTGTTCCTTCTGGGCAGGGAGGGGAGGAGTTGGGTCCTGGGATGTGTGGCATCAGAGTAAGCAGCACTGCCTGATGCGTATGCCCAGGTGTCTCCAGAATTGTTCTGTGAGCTGTGGATCCGGGACACCAAGTACGTGCAGCAGCCCTGCGTGGCCCTGACTGTGTATGTGGCCATGTGCCACAAATTTCACGTGTGCATTGAGTGGCGGCGTTCTGACTATTGCCGTGAGTTTGGGGGGCCAGGGGTACCCTCCTTTGTGACTATTGCTCCCATCCCCTGTTAAAGTGGGAAAAGGCTCCCTGATATAAATTCATGTACAGTTTCCCAGGTTTACTCATTCATGCATTTATTGCATTAGTAAATTTATAAATATTTTATATGTTTAATTTATATTTAATTTTTATATTAAATATAAAAGTATATACTTTTTATATTAATGAACTTATTATAATTCATATGAATATATTAGCACATAGTAATTGTATTGTCATTTAGTATTTGCTTTCTTTGCATCTCTTCTCTGAAAGTGGAGCCTGCAACCATCGCCCCCTCCCAGCGTGGTTTTGAGGTTGTTGGGGAGAGTGTGCCGAGTGCTCACATAGGCCTCCCCCACCCTCCCGACACCGTCCAGTACATCTTAGCTCCCTCTGCTTCTTTTTTGCTCATCTTTCTCTTCTTGCAGTCTTTCCCCTCTTTCCTGCAGAAAGGAGATGAGATCTGCCTCCTCCTCCCCCAATTAGGTTTGACTGGTGGGGTCTACAGGGGTGGCCTGGGGTAAAGTAGCTTGATTTATAAATGTGAGCACATCCAGAAAGGCTGGGATCAGCTCACAGGAGGGCCGCACCCACAATATGACAAGTAAAAGAGGAAAAGACAAAAGTCCTCTTGGGTTGTGTTCTTCACACTGTGGATTCCAACTTAGTGAGAATGAAATCAGTTTAGGGGTCAGCACCAGCATTTAAAAAATACAATAGAATAGAATGAAAAACACCAGTGTGTATTGCTCATAGAAAGTTAGTGTTATTTTGTAAAAGAGATTTTTTATTTTATATAGAAGCAGTTTTCAATACTAAATACTCTGAAATCACTCAAGGAACTTGAAAATGCATGGACCCCACAATCAGAGATTCAGTTGGCCTGGGGCGGGCTCCCTACAATGGTATCTCAAAACTTCCAAGGGATTCTTGTGTAGTTGAACTGGAGGACCACTGTTCTACATGCTTGTGTGTATTGGGCCACAGCGTAATATCTACTTTTTGCAGTCAAGGAAGTTTGAAAACACTGATCTAGAGCAAGGGGTTGGCAAACCTTTTCTGTAAGGAGCCAGATAGCAAATATTTGATGCTTTGTGTGCCATATGGTCTCAGTCATAATCCTCAACTCTACCTTTTTAGTATGAAAACAGCCTTAGACAGAATATATATAAAGGAACAGGCATGACTGTGTTCCAATAAAACTTTGTTTGCAAAAAACAGACAGTGGGCTGGATTTGGGCTGTGGGCTGTACTTTGCTGAGTCCTGATCTAAGGAAGGAGGTGATGTCACCAAGCCCTTTGACTTAAACACTCTCTGCTGAGCCGTGGATGACACTCTGAACCCCCTCCTCATCCCTTCCTGTTCTTTCGGCCCTCAATGGGGAGCCCTGCCTAGGGTCTGAGGTAGGCCTGATGCCAACTGTGCCCTTGCAGCCTTCCTGTGCTCCAGTGACTCCACATACCAGGCATGTGTGACGGCCTGTGAACCCCCCAAGACATGCCAGGATGGGCTGCTAGGCCCTCTGGACCCAGAGCACTGCCAGGTGCTGGGTGAGGGCTGCGTCTGCTCCGAGGGCACCATCTTACACCGGCGCCACTCCGCGCTCTGCATCTCGGAGGCCAAGTGCGGTAGGTTTCTCCTCTCCCTGGGCAGGGTCTCCAAAGTTGACCTCGCCTCCTGCTGACCATGGCTGAGACCCATCTGTAACCTTCCAGGTCTGCTTAGGGGTGGTTAGTACCCCAGGGAGAGTCTAGCCTGGGAAGGTCTGGCGTCCCCACCTTCCTCAGTCCCCTGCACCCTGCCATGCCCCTCTGCAGCCTGCACTGACAGCATGGGGGTGCCGAGGGCCCTGGGGGAGACCTGGAACAGCTCCCTCAGTGGCTGCTGCCAGCAACAGTGCCAAGCCCCAGACACCATCGTTGCGGTGGATCCGGGCTGCCCCGGCCCCCGCCCTGAGAGCTGCCTGCGATTTGGGGAGGTGGCCTTGCTCCTACCCACCAAGGATCCCTGCTGCCTGGGGACTGTCTGTGGTGAGTGTCTGCCTTCACTTCCTTGGACCTCAACTGTAAAACAGCTAAAAGCCTCCAGCCCTGCACACTCTGTCCAGTGGATGAGAGAATGCCTGGGGGCAGGGGTAGAGGCTCAGGAGCCAGTGCAGGGAGTGCTGTGGAGCCAGGCAGCCTGGCCACTCTTCCTCCCCCACCTGTAGCCATGTGGCCTCAGGCAAATCAGTTCACATCCTCTGTGCCTTCGTTCGTTCTCCCGGGACATGAGCTGACAATCGGGCCCATTTTTGGGGTTGCTGTGAGGTGGGGCGCATGTTGACAAATGTTAGGTCTTGCTGCTCTTCTGTCCCAGTTCTGAACACTTGTGTGACCCTCAAAGCCTCATCTAGGAGTGTGGGTCCTGGGGGCAGTGGGGAGGAGTGGGGCCAGGTGTCCAGGGGCTAGCCAGTGCTGGACAGCAGTGGGGACATCCAGCCTCCAGGTGACAGGCCCTGTGGTCTCTGGGCCAGTGTGTAACCAGACTCTGTGTGAGGGCCTTGCCCCCACCTGCCGCCCAGGCCACCGCCTCCTCACCCATTTCCAGGAGGACTCCTGCTGCCCCAGCTACAGCTGTGGTGAGAGGCCTGGGGCGGGGAGGGTGGGGACGGGCTGAGGGCAGTGGGGGGAGGACGACTCTGGGGGCAGGTGCCCAGGTGTGGCCAGGCGGGTTCCTCTCCCAGCACCTAAATCCAGCCTTTTCCCCAGAGTGTGACCCAGATCTCTGCAAGGCAGAGCTGGTCCCCAGCTGCCGACAGGACCAGACCCTGATTGCGGGCCGCCTGGGGGACTCCTGCTGCACCTCCTACTTCTGCGGTGGGTCACCGCCAGGGCACACAGCCAGATCATGGTCTGCCAGCCTCACCCCTGTGTCCTTGGGCAGCTGGGAGGAAAGGCTGGGGGGTCTTCAGATGGGGTGGGCAAAGGGAGAAAGACAAGCTCACTGTCCAAGAAAGAGGGTGGGAGGAAGAGGGTACCGGCCCCGTGTTACCCCCTAGATGACTGAGCAATAGGAAACTGGTGCTTGTTCAGTGTAGTGGATGAGAGGGATGCCTCTCAGTGGACAAGAGGGAGAACTTTCAGATTCTGATTCCAGAACGGATCACATGAGACCATGAGATGCTGCTATTAGCTTAGCTCCTGCCACACCTGGGTTGTGGAGGAGCCCCTACCTACTATGTGCTAAGCCCCTATGCAGGGACTGCTGTTACAGCATTGACCCTCTTTCCCCTCAGCTTGTGGTGACTGTCCAGATCCCATCCCCGAGTGTCAGGAAGGGGAGGTGCTCACTGTGCACAGGAACACCACAGAGCTCTGCTGCCCTCTGTACCAGTGTGGTGAGTCCTGGCTGGGCACACAATGGGCCATGGTGGGAAGGGGCCCTTCACAGAGTCCTCGCCCCAGGACCAGTGGGGGTTGACTGGGGGCAACAGAGCGGGTGTGAGCTCTGGAGGGCTGAGCAGCTGAAGCCAGGATGAGTGCAGGCCCACCTGAAGAAGCTGGGTCAGCCTGTCAGGCTGGAAGGTGGGAGGTCCAAGCCTGTCTCCTCCATGGAGGCTCCCGAGGGCAGACAGAGGCTTGGGTCGAAGGACAAATGCTTGGGTCCCCCCATTCCCACAGCACTGATAAGAGGTCCTCATTCCCCGACTGACCCAAGGCCCCCCCCTTCAGGGTCCCTTTCGCCACTGTGTCGCCATAGTGCTGGTTTCTGGAGGCTATATCACAGAAGGCCCCATGCTGCAAAGCCTCTGAAACTCTTTTATTTTGCAATGATAAAAAAAGGATGCCTTTTCCAATATTTTTATAGGACCTGGTACCTGTATGTATGATACTATACATACATGTAGACATGGATAGTATGTACATATTATGTACTGTGTTCATAGTACCTTGATAGAGAATGCACTGTGTACATAGAACCTCAGTAGTAACTATTAAGCATAGTGCAGCCAGCATTATGGACCGTTTGCTTTAACGGATGAAAATGAACAAAATGGTTTGATTTAACTATGACTCAATTTACAAAAATTGCTTTACACACGGCTAATAGGAGAAGTATGACATTTTTTCTTACCCAGAGCAGAGTAGGAGATGGGCCTCCATCAGGACACCCAAGGACCGCCCTGATTGGTTCAATGTCAAGAGCCACCTCGGAAAAAATGTAGGCTCCCATCCCATGAGAGTTGCCCAGATGACCAGGCCCCACCTGACCAGGAGCTGTTTGGCCACTTGCCACAGTATTTGCAAGACTGATCTGGGCAGAGATTCACTAACCTTTCTCCTTCCCTTCTGTCTTTCTCTTTCTGTCATCACCTCACCCCTGAGCCATCCTTCTGTATTCACATTTCTTTCCATGTTTCTCGAGAGGCAGCCTAGTCATGTGGATGGAGTATGGGCATAGTCAGTCAGCCTCCAAGCCTCAGTTCCGCTCTCTACCAGCTGTGTGGCCCAGGGCAACTTACTCACTCTCTGAGCTGAGGTTGCTCCTTTGTAAAATGGTGATGCTAGTATTTGCCTTGAGGGGCTGTTGTGGAGATTAGAGATAATTTATGTGAAGGACCTAATGGTCCTTGGTATGCGGTAGGTGCTCAAAAACAGAGGCTGTTGATATGATCACTTTCTCCCAATCTTCATCATACTTTTACATGACAAAAGCACTGTATGTGCGTTGTAGAAAGTACACGTTCCAAGTAAATGCAAGAAAATGAAAATACCATCTTCCCACCTGCTGGATAATTCCATTGCCAATGCTTCAGTGGATACTTACCCTTCCAGATTCTCTCTATGCCTTCAAGTAGATGTAGTTTACCAAAATCAGCTCATTCTGGACATGCTCTTTTTTTTTTTTTTTTTTTTTTTTGAGA